CCACCCGTCCCGCGCACACAGACACGCGGAACGGTCCCTTTTTTGTGCATTGACAAAAAAAAAAAACAGGATCAAGAGAAGAAAAATGTTTAGCTACAACATAATTTACACTATAAGCATGACAATAGTAACAATCGGTGACAAAATTGTTGAGAGAATGTTTGAGTCCTCAAATGGGTTATTGTTTTCAAACCACTGAAAAATTTCAAAAAGTCTTCTGAAAGAAGATTTCGCAAAAAGGAAACAGGAATAAAGACACAATCTGATATCTTACTGGTTGATGAAGACTTCGCCTGGCATCATTTTTCCGCAACAACTGCACTATGGAGTGGTGGTTTTGACGTTCAGCTTTTTGCAGCGGTGTACGTTGAAACTAAAAACATAATAAACAGAGTAAAGCGCTTTACTTACCATTTGCTATTTTACCATGGAAACATGCTAACTACCGGTATGTGTACATAAGGTAGTATAGTACAAAGTGCAGTTAATTGCAAAAATTGCAGAGTTGAGCTAGTGAGAAAAATCACAAATTCTCTACGTTTCGCATCTCTCTCACCTCCAGACATAGCGTTTTAGCATTGGTTTAATGTTCAATTGTTCTGTAACAAGATCTAACGTCCAATAAATCATTAAAAAAGAAAAAAAAAAGGCCATTAAGTTAGCCTGTGGAAACTAAGCCTTTTTACGTTGTTTGTTTTTTTTTGTTTGTATTAAAACTAGAAAATGGAAAGGAAAGAAATTGGTAATTAGAAATAGCATAAATAATACGCAGTTCTTCAGTTACAAGTGTACTGCAATTCAAGCGCAATCACCGTTAACGATTACACGGGCGATCAAGCATTTTCAACGTGTGGACGCGATAGAGAAGTAAAATGAATTATAAAGGAAGGAAGGAGGAAACATAAAGGCTTGTTTGAATAATAAAGGTGGGAGTAGAGGATCCCGCGAAAAGAAACGTGTTCTATCATAAAGAAGAGAAAACAAAGACAGTCAAACATTCTCAACACTAATGTAAAAATATTGTTTTCTTTTACACATGTATTAAAAAAACATCCATGTATTAAAAAAAGCAAAAATCCAAAAAAATCCAAAGGGTACTTGTTTTTAAGTTCAAGATATTTTTTTAATTCTGATTTTGTACTTCTTCGCTGTCGCTCTAATTTTTTCGAGAATAACAAATAAAAACAACTAACAGTAGTAATAAATTGCCTTTGTAAATACTTGTACCTTGTTAATCATAACAGCGAGTTCGCTTAGGCAAATATACCGCCTTTTAAAGGTTATTACGCAGTTACTACTAAATTCTTATGCGAATAATACTAACAAACAACAACTTCCCTTACCCCAACCCTCTCAAGCAACTTATTGATCCAATGTAAAAAATAAAGAAAACGTTCACTATCTCACCCTGTCTTCAGCGTTGACGTTCGCACCGTGTTCTAACATCAGTTTGACAACAGATTCCTGTCCATACCAACAGGCAAGATGAAGAGGAGTCAAAGAAAACTACCAAAAAAGGTAAAAAAGGCAATTAAAAAGTTGAAAGGGCGGCAAAGTAATCGGCCTTTCTGGGTCAAAATAAAACTGTATATTAATAAAGTGGATTGAATGTGATTGTCTGGGTGAGTCAGACTGATGTTTCCGGTAACATTTTGTGTAGAAGTCATCATTAGAGCCATTTTACAACGTGGAAGTCATCGTAAGAGTTTTTTTCGAATACTGCAGTGGTTGTCGGAATGTCCGTCAACAGCAGCCCTTTTTAGGACTAGAATCACCCGCGCGATCTCTTTCAATCTACTTTTGACAAGACTTTTGGGCTCAAACAATTCATACTCAAAAGTAAAACCATTGTAATCTCCAACATCTACCTCTTTCTTTTTGACTTTAACAAAAAAATAATATTTTATCACTTCCTTATCATATGTACCCGTAATACTTATATTTCATTAAGTGTGCTCTTTCCCATAAAATGTGAAAGTAAGTAAATAAAGGTAAAACAACAACAGCAAAAATGAAAGTAAAACAACTACCACAAAAGCAAAAAACCTGGTCAAGAACATGGCCTTAAAAAATGGGATGCATTTTGTATCATCGCACAACGCAGCACGACAAAAACTAAATTGCCCGAGGTCTTCTAGTTCGATTGTACTGAAACGGGGGACACAGGAAGAGCACTAGGAACGGCAAAATGAAATATGGAAACAATGCTTGGTTCCATTTTACTGTCACATGAGGTCGTTCCCCACTTTAGTTAAGTCCCTTTGAGGAGAACTGTGTTTGAGCTTGTTTTAAAGATATACAGAGAATGAAAGATAATAGGAATATGCTGAAACTGTCAACAAATACAGGATTTTCAAAGATACAGCCGTTCAAATTTTGTTGTTCACGAACTGAACCAAAATAAAATACTTTGCGATGGTCCTCTCTTATTGTCTGTCACAATAATGGAACCTGTCATTACCGACCAATCAAAATGTTGTTTGCGAACGCAAGGCATGTAATACTCAAAGGCTTCCGTGCAGGCTCTCGTTGTTCCCCTCTTCATTGGCTCGAAACTTATCGCGCGGAAGCCTTCGCTAAACGTCAATCTGTCACAGCCAGGACAAGAAAGGAATTCGAGAATCCAAGAGCGAAGCGAAGGCAAGAGGTCCTGCTGAACATTAAGTTTACATAAACTGGAGAGGACTAAAACCTGATCTCTTTGATCCACTTCTTCACCACTTTCAAGAAGCATTTTGACCGTCTCGTATTGTCCACTGATAGCAGCCTTGTGTAGAGGACCTCTTGATGCCTATTTTAAAAAACATCCTTCTATGTAAATTAAAAACAATTGCACAATCCTGTTCATAAAAGTCAAATCCATCAGTCTACCAACCTTACACTTGGTTATAAAACCTCACCCTGGATTAGATTTTAATCCCTCTTCGTTCCAAAACTTAAACTTTACTAACTGCATCTATATGGATACTGGAGATAATGACTCAGTACTGAGAAAAAAATCCTCCAGGGCGACCCACTGTAAAAGGAGTCGCAATTGTGTACGGTTAAATAACAATGTTGCAACTCATAAAGCTGCGCTCCGCTGAGGTTGATATATGTGCAAGTCGTTAACAATGTGGCACCGAGAGATGTTTTACACACTTTTTTGCTTTGTTTGTATACTCAACGAGCGCACACTACAAAATGTATCTTAATTAACTTCCCGCTGAACTTACTTTAGCCTTCTCGGCTCTGGCCATAGGTGTCAAGACCTGCTTCTTATTCTAGGATGATAAAAATAAATCAATCAATGAACGAAAATAAATCAATAACCGAAATAAATAAAACGGTATTAAATGTCTTACTACTGGTACAGTCAAATACCGCTTTACGGACACCCGCTTAATAGGGACACCTTATTATTACGGACAGTTTGCTTTGTCCCTGGGGAAAGAAAGCACTAAAATTTTCTCTAAATTCAACCCGCTTCATACGAACACCCTGTTATTACAGGCACTTTCTATGGCCGCCTCAGTGTTCGTATTGACGGGATTTGACTGTATTTGTTTGGTACAATTCCTAAAAACTAACTAGCAACTCTCCCTATTCACCATTTTGTTTTCAGTAATCCATAACGGCGCTTTTTCAGGTTACGATTATAAAATACAAGGCGCAAACACTATACATAATTTCTTGATAAAAACGTTTGGATCTAAAATTGACCACCTTGTTACATAACTGCCTTATAACATCGCCCGTTTCGCAAGTTCCTAAAAGAAAATATTCTTACCTTCACAACATCTGACTTTGTTCCATCCAACCTTGGATCTTCTACCTGACCTGAATCAACTGTTTGAGATGAAGATTTGAAAAACGATGGTGTCACCAACAACAGTATACAAGTTATAACGGCCATTAAAACTTGTTTTAAGCGAACACCTCTTCACCTCTCCGGACAGCTCTTTCAATGCTTTGATTCTTGTGGGACGTAACAAAACCCACACTGCTATTCGTAAAGAGTAGGGGGCGTACACCCAGGTGGTGTGGTACAACCTTTCATGGGCTGGGTGGGTAATGAAAGGGTTGATATCAATTGGGAAGTCAGTCCTGTTTCATCCCTTGTCACCGTGTTGAGTTACCGTGGCGAATTCAATAAAGTAAAGTAAACAGGAGTGGCGAGTACTTCAAGAGGTAGCCTCCACGGCAATCCCAATCTTTCCAACTAAGGAAGTGCATTCGTCAATATTTGTTGTTGTTGCATGACCTCCATTAGTCTATGAATTCCCCGTTTATTTACTACTAAGGTGGTACATGGCATTCTACGGACTAGTAGAATTACAAAGTTATCATTGTAAACTGCCAAGGTGGGAACACTTGGCTGAATTATTGCACTCAGTGCTCTATCAAACCTACGGGGCCGCGAGTAAAAAAGTTCTGGCAAAACATTTCACCCACTGGCTATCCATTAGGTTTAGGCTTTAAGATCGCCCAGCTCACCTGAAATTTCCATGAAAGCCATCTTACAAATCAAATAGTTTTCTTCTTCTATAGTTGTCTTCAACCTGATATTGTCCATCCCGAGTTTTCTCTTTAGTTCATCAGTCACCAGGAACGTCTCAGCGATGTCATTAAGGTGACCAGATTGATAGTCATTCCACAGACTTTCAAGACTCTCTAGGTTGGGGCATTGCACTGTTATTATCAACGATCCAGATTCCACCATCAATATGGCCACATTGAAAGCCTTTTTCAAGTATTCAGTAAAGGCTCTTATACTATCAGGTGTCGAAACGTCATGGTATTTTTGGTACACATGCACCCGATGTTCTAAATCTTTAACTATTATTTCTTGCTGTTCATTGCTTAAATCTTGGGTATGCAAAGAAATAAGAAGTCGGACAAAAGCACTTACAACGCCTGAAAATCAACAAGAAGAAAGTTACAGATTTTTTTAAATTTTTTTTACAAAATACTTATAATGCACAATAACTTCACACAAATTTGTTTACATACTTACACAACTGTACGTTGTTAATATAATTTCTACTTTCATGTAAAAGAAATAAAGGAGACAAGTCTTTAGACCTTTACCCCAAAGCTCCCCTTGGGTTGGGCTCTCTCTAGGTCTTGATCAATTTCATTTTACGGTTACAAGGCGATAAATTGCTAATGTTCAAGTTCAAGTTCAAGTTCAGTTTATTTACACTTATTCAAAAAAAAAAAGTACACAGGTACAATAATAATAGGAACTAACGAAAGAGGGACATCAGAGCTAGTATACATGTTACACTAAATATTACATTGGGAAAGGGTGTAGTGGCCAGAGGAGCAAAGCTTTCGAGTTGGCTATTACCACGGTGCAGTTACTAATGGAAGACGGTTTCACCTGCAAAACTAGTCTCAGAGCTCGTACAATTTACTTATCTATTATTACAGGGAGAGAGTATAGAAAGATGTTGAAAATTTAAAAGTTGATATATAAAAACTTAACAAATTAATTAATTAGAAAGGTAGCAAAGGTAGATGACTAGATGAATGTTATTCACTAACTGCAGTAAGAGTTTATAATCTCTTTTAAAAGAATCACAAGGGAGGCATTTAACTTCAAAAGGTATTGTTTCCCAGGTTTGTGAAGCCACTACACTAAAACTTGCAAGGCCATAATTAGTTCTGGAGGATGGTCTGTACAAGTTTTGATTAGTGGCATACCTGGTATTATAGTTATTGACTGCAGAAGCTGGTTGGACCAGATCATAAAGAACAGGGGGGAGAAAATACTTCAACCCCGTTTCGCGGTAAACATCCTAGTAAATATTGAATACTGACATAAACAGTGAACTTTTGCGACTTCACATCAATTATGCTTAGCAATAGGCCTTAATTTTGAGACTACAACGAACACGTCAACCTCATTCGCGCGAAAAACAAAAAAAAGAAATTGTCACTCGCAAGACAAAGCACTGGTCCACAAAATTGGTACCAACGACTTCTTGAGGAAAGAATTCTGATTGAATCTGATGCGCTACAGAAGCGTCTTACATCGGCCAACCAAAAAGACGAATAGTGATTTTTAGTGATCATGATAAAGCATGGAAAAATACATTTTTCATCGGTGTGTAAAAGTTTACAGATGGCGCTTGGTGTCCATTCCAAAGACATTTAAGAGAATCGAATTTTGCCGTTCGGACCGAAAAGAGTGCCTGTAAGCCCGTAATAGCGATTATGCGTAATAACAGGAGTTTGTTAGGTCCAAAGTCAGTAGTATTTTTTTCGGGGAATGAAGCTGCTGCCCGTTTTTATGGGGGTGTCGTTATAGCGAGGTCTACGCTCGGCGAATGTATGTTCGTATGTAAGTTGAATGTTTTTTGGGATGAATTTTTGAGAGTTAGCATAGCTCTAGCCGATTGTGAGAAAGAAGGATATCATTAGAATGCACTAAGGTGCTCTTGTTGGCGTTTTTGTAAACAATGTGGTCTAGCTTAGTGCACCCCTGGACAAATATAATCTTTATCTCGTTTGTTTTCGGAATGAGGGTTACATGATGTTCTCAAGGCAATTGGTTGTCCTGTGTATTCCCATTTAGTAAAATCCAACAAGTAGTCTATTATCAATGCCGCGTTCTGATTGGTTGAGCTACTACTAGGCTATATGTTATAGCCCACCAGTAGCGAAAAGCACCGGCTTTGAAAACCAAAACAATGGCGACTGAATCGCGTTTTGCTAGCTAAAGTTGTTTTGTCTTGATATTTTTGACCAACTAGTTGGCCTTCGGCCTCATGGGCTATTGACTCAGAGCCCATTCGGGCTCGAGGAATAATTGTCAAAAATTATGCTTATATGTGTACTCATGCATTCTTTAAGGTTAGTAACGATTTAGAGGCATTTCAAGGAGAAGACAATGGTCTTTTGTGGGTTTCTAGCCTTGTGTTGGGAGTCGTATGGGACTGGAATCCTCACTAAGCCAATTAACGAGAGGTATACCAAGCCGAGACTCTATATTCTTCCACAGCTTTTTATTCCTTTTGCAGAAACTGCTTCTGACTTCTACTGAACGTCTTCAACTTCAACTCCCACTAACAAGCCCATCACCAGCGACTTAAACAACCAAATTGTATACGTGTTTGGGTTAGCAAACCATGAGAATTTTTCATTGCATATCCTGTGGCTTAACTTGCGGGGAACAGAACTGCTACACTGTCGTCATTGATAAGAACCACAGAACTAGTGAAAAATGCTAGCGGCAAAACTGCTCGGTGGGGCAAAGCATTCAAAATAGGAACTTGAGCTATAATCCGCGAACATGCCTACTTCAAAGAACTACAATTAAGTTTAACAAATCCTTCAAATAGACGATACTACTCGAAAACTCAGCGTTTGCTATAAGTGTGGACTATAAACTAGCTAGCTTGCGAACAGCGGACGCATTTCCGGTCGTCGCTTCTCTCCCTCCGAAAAATACCGTCTGCGAACCCGCACGGCAAAACGATTTCCGTGACGTAAAACCTTTTGTTTTGATGTTGGCCAATCAGATCAAAGGATAGAATACAGCTCGAGTGACTCCTCGCGACCTCGCGAGCTGAAATGTCTTGGATTTCGACGAGAGTTACCAAATACGCTTTGGAACGTGAATTTCACGACCATAACAAGGTTTCCTGCGACGTTGAATGCTGACTTCTTTATGAAGCAACTACTTTTTAAGCTATGTATGTGATGTGGGCCTTTGGTTTCGCTTTGTAAAATACGGTAGTACGTGACATAAACAAAACCTGAAAAAAATAATCGCTACAGCAAAAGGAAAGTAACATAGCTTAAAGGGGCTGTGTCACGGCTACTGCGCATGCTTGCATTTGACAGATGCAAATGATGTAAACAAGGCCATGTTTATATGAGCCCATGCGAAAAGCCGACTCGCGCTGCGAAACCTTCATCGAGATTCCTTATTGTCGTTAGAACCTTTTACAGAAATGAGCCTTTCTTCGGAACAAAGTCGCTCTTTTGCGGTATGTATCCGTGTATTAATTTAGCCACAACTTTCTTGCCGCTTTTGTAGTCAGCGACTCGCGCTCTACTCTTCCTGGACTTCTGAATACCGCAGTTTATTCCACTCGATTGCGCGAAATCTAGTCAACATTATTTCCTTCCCGTTTGCGCAGGACAACGTCCCTAACTCTTGCCAGTGTACAAGCACTTGCTCTACGAAAGCAGGAAGAAAAAGGACTGGATGTCCTTGCAAAACAGCCGGTCGCTACTGCGGAGAGGCTTGTTCGTGCAGTCAACGAAAGCCTTGCAAGAACAGAGAGGTGGGGAAACAAAGCTCGGTTGAGGTCTAAAATTCGCTAGTAGGAAGTACTAGTACAGTTTGCGATTTCTTTTTTATCATGTGAAGGCTGCATCCGTGGCATCCCAAGGATGGGGATTCGTGCAAGGACCGCCAGGCCAACCAGATAATGGTCTTACGGAGGAGCAAGAACGGGACATGGAAAATCGACGAGTGAAGGTACAATACTGAATTATAATTCATAGTCGATGGCACAAAAGATAGTCCTTTAAAAATCTCATCTGCTATTCCTTTACCTAGTAAGTTTCCCTTGTACAAGTTGTTGATTGTTGCTTCCCCTAAATGGAGCAAATTGTCTTTTGTTTTAGTGTCTCGTTTGTGTGTCATGTTCTGAAGTGTGCAAGATTTCTTAGGGAAGTCCCCTTTTTACTAGTTATTTTCTCGTCGATTACGCTCTTAAAAAAATCTACGTGTCAAGCTTCGACAGAATGTGATAAAAAGTAATTGTCCAGCTACTCTAACAAATTATTGCACTATTTTTCAACCTCACAGGAGTTTATCCAAACCCTGGATGAGGAGCTAGCAAAAAAAACTTGCTACAAGAGCTCTACAGAGGGGAGTGGGCAGCATGGACTATATAGATATGTTTCTTATCCAGGAGGACCCAGAAGATGAGAATGACGATGCCGCTCTACCGTCTTCCCTTTCTCTATCCCCCCCCCTGAAGTGTCAAGTCCAGCACCACTGAACCCTGCCCAATCTACACCTGCATTCACCCCAGCCTCAGACTCGAGCATATCTGGAACATCAGCTTCAGGTGGGCCCTCATCTTTCAGGCCACCGCCAACAGCATCTATGGCAAGGTCAAGTGAACCAGTGCCTGAGTGGTGCAAATGTTGACATTGCCGCAGAATGTCGCAGGAGGTTGAGAACCAGTGCTGTAATTCTTGAGACTGTGTCTCACTTAGTGCACGTTTTCGCAAGCTATGCCTGGACCCTGATTATTTACAATTAAGTATAAAGTGTTCAGGGGATATCAGAAACGACCGTCAAGATAATAGCAGCAGAGCCTTCCGAAAGGCTGCCTATCGTCATTATATAATTGAAGAATATGGCTACCTTGGAAAACACAAAAGAAGGGTATGCCCTTCATGCTGTGTATGGAAAATTCGAGAGCACTACCCTTCCTCAACTGGGGTGTACATGGGGTTCAAACCTCGCTAAAATGGAAATAACTTTTTGATAGGTTTCTACAAGGAATTTTTAATTGCAGTTGGTTTGTTCAACCTCATGCCATACCCCCAACCCCACCCCCCCTCAAAAAAAAATTGTCCTGGATTGAGTACCCCTGTGAATATCGCCCCATGAAAACAATAGCATTACAGCTCTATTTGTATTGTGGCAGTGCGAGCAAATTTAATAATATGGATAATTAGACTCACAAAAACGGATTCCAACGGCTAGTTCAATAAGGACCAATCTACTCCGGTATTTACATTTACTAACCAATCCTTTGTCTTCGGTTAACTTTTGCATTATTTAGTTTCACATATTGTGCATTAAAATTATTAAACAATTCTCATAGGTTATATTTATTGTCAATTTATTGTCAAAAACACCACGGTTGCTTATTGTGCATCATACATGACAGTCCTTCGTTGATGAATATTTTCTTACACTGCACATGAATACATAAAGGTTCCATATTTATTACATATTTTACATCAGGTTTCCTAGTTTTTCTTAAACCTGCTGCTGGGCTGAATAAAGAGCTCGCGTGAAGGTGGGGGTGGCACCACAGCAATTGAAGGGGCTATCCTCCTTGGGTCATCAGCTTCCATTGGGACCGCCCTCTGCATATTTTCATTATCCTCCACACGTAGATGAAACACTTTAGCCAGAAGCATCCAAATATAACCATAGTCTTTGGCCTGCTTTACAATTTTCACATTCCAACTCTTTGTTCTTTGGTTGTACTTCTGGGTCACAGCAACCTCGCCTAGCACATCTTCTTGTTCAGGAATATCGAGGTGATAGTTCCAGTCAATGGCAGCTAGTTGTTTTCTTGTTTGTAGACTTTCTTCCTAAAAAGAACAATTGATCAAAATAGACAGTGTTCCATGAGATCTTTGTTCACACAGGGCAAATTTTTGAAGTATACAACAATTTGAGCTTCTCTATAGGCTAGAGATAATAATTTATAAATACTATGAACTTTTAAAACTATGAAGTGTCGTTACTTACATGTAGGAAATTCTCTTGCTGGCATACATCAATGACAGAGAGTTGGCTCGTTCTAATGCGCCTGTATGCCTAAAAGTAACATAAATATTTTTGAAAAACATGGTTAAATATACATGTAATAATTAAAGAAGGACAATGAATTGAGCTTGACATAGAAAGGCATTTAGGGGCTGGCCAACACCTTAAGAAGGTTTTCACAAGGTCCACAGTAGCAATAAAAAATAAACCCTTGCCTAAGCCTGACAACGTTAACGTTACTGAGCTTAGTTTAAGGAATGGGGCTGCTTGGAGTTATTGACATAGTATTCATTAACACAATCTTCTTTTAAGTTTCCTCCATACATTTCTTTTGCCAAGGACCAAGCAGACAGGAATACAAACCAAAATATTTTTTCTTTGAACATTATATTTGAATAAACCAACGTATTGAAATAAGATATATATTTAGTATTTCTTATGAAAACAGGGTTCCCCTTATATACCTGAATCTGGTGTAGTACTTGAAACTTTCAAGAAGGTCAGGATCCAGGATAATTTTTTGCAGTGCCTCAAACTCTTTGGATCTCCTGTCAAACCATGGAAGCTGGTGGTTTTCCTCAGTGATTGGCTTGTGGTCACAATGGCCATCAGCCCACTCATGTTGATTGCACACATGGTGTAATAGTGAGATCCAGGTATCCTGATTTCATAATAGTAAAATTTCATTGAAACAGATATAACAAGATGATAATGACATAGTGTCTGTTTACATGGAGGTAGGGAACCCCAGGTAGGTGAGGTAACCCGCTTTGGTGGAGTATCCCGCTTGTCCATATAATATCTCATTTTAATTTGATAGATGGGGTGACCCACCACATTTTACCTCACCTATCCGAGGTCCCCCACCTCCATGTAAACAGACCCTAAAACATTGTGAAGAAACAAAGTGTTTACAGCCTGATATAATATAATGTGATAATTTTCAAAAAAGTCTCAGAAAAAAAAAATTCAGACCTGTCACTAAGATTTCAAGTTGCTGGGTACATAAAATAAGTAGGCAGAGAATCAAACAACGGGGGGTTTCGTTTGGTTCCATTTTTCTTCTATTTTCCTTTGAGTGTAGCTGGGGGCCACATAGACCCATCACCTCTTACTGACAGCCCTGTTATTAATTACTTTAAAAAAGATGATAAATTGGAATTACCTTCAATATCTTCAGAGCTTCTAGCTCATTGCCTTCCACTTCAGATGCCAGACTGCAACAGTGCCAAAAGTGTCTAACAATGTGGTCAGACCAAAGGGCCACTTTTTCCATCCCCTTTGCACTTCCCACCTACAGAAGATCAATAACAAGCCTTAAATTTTTTTCTCTGGCAGAGATAAATGCAACGACTCAAAAAAATAAACCTACATTGACAGTCCAATCATCATTGTCAAACTTTGAGCATTTAATTCTCTACAGATTATGTTAACAACATTTCTTAGTCCATTCCTGGCCCATTGGTTAAAGATATGATTTGATTATCCTGGAAATATACAACAGTGAAGTATACTACATGGGCATATTTACAAGTGACAACACAATGTATGTTTATGTTCTATTTATAGGAAAGAGTCTTACCAATACATGGGACAGAGTCACATATTAGAAAGAATTACACTAAATTTGTTCTTTGTGGCCACTGTAAAATTAATATAATATCAACTCTAACTCACATTTGAAAGACACTTCCGGATTCCTTTTGACTTATGCCAGACATCAAGTGAGTGGAATATCTGTCTAAAGGCATCAGCTAGAATACAAGGAAAATAGTTTAGTATGTTTAGAAAATACAAAGTAAACTACTTGAGTTCACTGATAAATAGGAAGCATTGAAAACCCACAGGCAAAAAGCATGAGTTGTAAATAACAGCAGAAATTTTGGTAAGAATATGGAAATGACAACACAGCTAACCCATTGATGGTTTGGTTCAATTGATGAGAAAAAAGTTGACAAGAAAAGCACAACCTAAAACATATTTCAAGGCTGGGTGCTCTATGGTTTTAATACAAAACTATTAACGTAATCTCCCGGCATACTTCAACCTTCCTCATCCATCATGATTTATTGAACGTTCAGACATTCACTCAATGAAAACCTGATGCATCTAAAATTTTTATCACAGGAAGAACTTCAAATTGCTCCTTCACCGTTATGTCCGAGACAGATATGTGAAATAATTATGGAAACAGAAAATCAATACCGAAATGACCACCTACCTATTGTCACAAGCCATTCCAGCAACTGGACTTTCCACTGGTGGAGCAATGACAGAACCGTCATACTTGCCTCTTTTCACAGGGGTCGAGGTGTGCAAATTAGAATCATCTGCAAAACAATATACAACATATTATAACTTTTATTTCAATGAAAACAGAATTAATCCCGATGGACTGTGTCCATTAAATGTTCCGGCCACATGCACTGCTCACATAAAAAAGAAGTCCCTGAACAGGGATTCCAGATCGATCTCGTGCATCTAGTTACCTGCTAGGGGTTGTTGTACTGCACTTGACTCTTCCGTACTCTTCTTCATGGCTTGCTTGGCTTTTAAACTGTTAAAATAAAGTAATATTTAACAGGTAGTTAGATTCGACGTTGCAGCTTCGACTAAAAAGCAATATTAATGTAGAAGTCTTATTTTCTCACCTTTGTTGCCTTCGCATCTCAAACGACAACAAATGCTGCAAGAAAGCAGTGTCGGTGGAGAAGACACACTGGGCTTTCAGCTTTTTAAATGTGTCCAGAATGTCACGGCGGACGTAAATCCTTCCATGGGACTTGAGCCACGAACTCCGAGAGTCAGATCTCTTCTCTATGCTCTTAACAAAGCTTCCAGGTGACAAGAGCCTACGGCCACTGCCGTAGCGTTTACCGCCTCGAGCCGACATCCTTCGCTTGGAGCGCTAAATAGCGCTTAGGATTTCCACAATTCTCCAAAAAATTACTGTAACACGAAAGCCTTATGTCTAAATAATTTAAATATATAGATAAAATACAAAACGAACACCGATTAGCGACGATGGAAACAGATTTTCACTTGATTTGTGAGGATTCGCGTCAGTTTGATTTCTTGTTGGGCTGAACACTTTTCAAAGAATCGAGCATGCGCAATGCATGTGACACGGCTCCTTTAATGGCATCGCGCTCAGACTTATTTATTTCAATTTAACCAGCGCTGACAAAAGGTGGTGAATCAATTATACAGACACATCCTTGACTGATTCAGAAATTTCTGACAATCGCTCGTTAATAATTCTGGTACCGCCACAACACAATGATCTGAAATATTATAAATTTTGGCCAGACCCAGTGTGAAATAAATAGTTACCGCAGTAAATTGATCATAGTCAAGATCACATTGCAGCTACGACGCTTCGACTCATCTTACAAAAAACTATGGAAATTAAAACCATGAAAAGAACATGTACTTAAAGAAATATAAGAACAAATATAAAATGCTTTCGATCCGATCAAAGTTCTGTCTGAACCAAGAAGCAACCAGGCATGGGAAATCAATTACTACACTTCTTAGCTTTCAAAGATAAAGGATATCTACTAAAAAAATATCTAAAGCGGCACTCGAGAAACTATCGAAGAGTTCTCCAAAGCATACTTTCCTGCCAGGAACCAGAAAGGAACAGAAGCAACAAACGGCATGATGCGTCTACTGTCATTAGGACTTTTATCGTTTCAAATATGACCATCTAGGTGTGATAAATCATTGACTCCGTTGGCAAATAGATAAAAAGTGTCCTCTAATCTTTTCTTCAATATGAATCCTCTTGATGCTTATTTCATCAATCAGTCCCACAATCCTGGCAAATTAACTTTCGCAAACGCCTCGTTTTGAGAAAAAAGGGCGGCTATACACAAGCTACGTCGTCCTTTCAAAGCTTTTCAATTTCGACTTGTAAACTTCTCCACCGCTACCCTGTTCCAGGCTCCGAGATAGTCGGGTCCGCTGAATTGAGAGAGCGCAAACACGAAAATAAAACTTTTCGCGTGCCTTTTTCTTTCGCGTCTTCCCCACTATCTAAGTCTCGCGAGTTAGTTCCTTGATTTTAAGAGCTAAAATGTGATTGGCTAAAACGTTTTACGTCACGGAAATCGTTTTGCCGCTCGGGTTCGCAGACGCTATTTTTCGGAGGGAGAGAAGCGACGACCGCAAATGAGTCTGATGTTCGCAGGCTAGAAACTAGCACGAACTACAAAATAATCATTCGGATACCCTATGCATATGAAAAACCTTAAGAATACAAATTTTCCAACCAAACTAAAACCAACTACTTCATAACACTTGTTTTGTGCTCAGAGTAATGGATCGCTTACACTGAAGATCAGTTTCTTTGAGCCGAAGGACGGTAGATTGACCTTTTCTTGATGCTCCTTGAGAGACAGTCATTAGAACAGACACGGGTAGAGATGCAGACAGAGTCCCAGAATTATCTGCACAATGTGTTACCTTGATTTATCGAGAGTACGGTACAACTACAAATAATTCTTGTGGTGCAATCGTAAAAAACTAACTATGACTTGTATTCTTAAGTGCATTCACTCTTTGCAGTAACTGAAGGTTTTCTTGTTTTCATTTCTGTTAGAAGTAATAATTGTTTGTTTTCCGAGCAAAAAATCACAAAGGACTTGTAGGTGATTCCATTTAGTAGATGCAGACGTACGAAACTGCCGATTATTAAGAGTATGGTTAGCGAGGTGCAAATCGTGAAGAACTCAATAGATTTACTAATACAATAATATAGAGATTTAGCCAGGGCTAAAAGCGAAGCTCCCGTTAATAATAAATTCATAATTTAAATCAAACAATAAACTTGTAATCCACGGATCAGGGCACATTCATTTGACTTTGGAGGCAAAGGCTAAGTTATTTTAGAGCAAAATAATTTGACAGTCCAAGAGTGAAACAATTTTTACATCGAGTTATTAAATGGTCTTATTTGTACACCCAAAAATAGCAATCATGTTCGATCACAGTAGATTAGGCCTGGAAAACAAATAGACCAATTGGTGTATTGTACTTGCATTAGCTGTTGCATCATAACGTGGCATTCACTAGTCTCTCCAACATTGCTCCGTTAGAGACACTATGGATAATTGGGCAACCCCGAAATATAATTTTAAGAAACACACGCGCCACGATAGTCCTTGGTGGCAGCCAATTTACACGTTGCATTCCTCTGTCAAAAACAGAGGCCAAAATAAAAAATTATGCCGGGTTTTTTGGTGTTCGACAAGTTTAGTTTACTAGTAAATCTTGGCGACGAATCTGGCGGCGTGTAAACCAGCCTTTTAAACATTCTTTTTCTCATCACGTCTCAGGTAAACAGTACTCTGAGGCCCTTTTTTTATCATACAGACCTCGGACAGAATTTGTTCTTTTTTGCCCTATTTAAACCTATAATTCTGCAGTTTTTCACAATTTTGCAAGATAATTTGCACTCATTCAATATCCACGACGATCGAAGCACGCGCTTCCTTTGAACAACAAATTATAGCATTGAATTATAAAACTTTTTCATGAAGAGAATTCTCAGATAATGCCGGGACTTTTCAGTTAGAAAAATCTGGTCCTATGTGATATGCAGGGTAATAATTACGGGCTTTTAATGAAAACGATAAAAAAAATTCCCAAAATCACTTTTCGGCCAGCCGGATGGGTTCTCACTTTTGACAGGCACCAAATTTGCAGTGTGACTAATGGAGTTACCATTTACGCTTCAACATGATAGAGAAATTGTTATGTTTAGGTTTTATTTTCCCTTATTTATTAAACTGTGTATGGTTTTGTTATGTGTAATCAGCGAGTGATATTTACGCGCGGCGTTTTGAGTATTCCTGCATGCGATGTTTATGTTTGACTGGAAACAACCGGTGCAGCGACAAAAATTGCGAGAGGGACTACTAACAATCAATAAAATAAATATAATTCGGTGAAACATGTACAAAGACAATAATTTTCATTCACGAAGAGAAGTATTGAGAGTAAAGTGTCTCTGAAAATGGTGAGTCAGGTAAGCATAAGCTTATTTATGTTTTAAGCCGGCTCCTGGTGTTTGCTTTTTTTCAAGATGAACTCGAGGCAAGAAAATCGCTCGGAGCTTTCGATTTACAGCCAAAATCATAACTAAATAATCGTCGGAACCTTTTCTTTGAATTTGCGGTCAAAAAATGTCTAAACGCTTTTTAAACCTGATACTATGGTAGGTTAGATCATTGCCCGTGTATAAACTTAAGACGCATAAACCATACGCTCGACTTCAAAAAACCGAAAAAAAAAAACCACATCAAAGACAATAATTGCTCAGGCTTACCAGTCGAGATGCTGCTTCTGAAGGTCATCAAGTGTTCCAGAATCGCTTGAGACTTTTCAACCCTCTTACGCCTCAAGCAAGGGCAAGTGAGTAAGCTCATTTTTGAAAACGATGCCATCCGAACTTCCAATGACTTTGACAAGCGGTGCATTTGTCAACAAAAAGCGCAATAAACAAACCAGCCATGAATTACAGAACAATCTTGATAGCAGCTGTATTTCATTTTGTACACCAAGTAGAAAAAGACAGTTTAAAACATCACAAGATGACACAAAACTCTGTCAGCTCCAGCTATCAGTAAGCAAGTTTCCAGACGCTGCATAGATTTTTCGCATGAACTCACCTGTCAAATTTTGACCAATCAGAACATAAGAATTGGACGTAGAGCGTGATCAACGTGTGACAGTGAGAAAAGTCAAAAGCGATTGCCTTCCCCGCATGTAAATGTAAAAGCCGGTTGAATTTTCGCGTCCGAGGTCAGTTCGAAAACAACATTTTAAAAGTGCTGCTCATGAACACGACTTATTTCATATGCATTTAAAAAAAAATTGAACTTGAGCCAGTGATCATTTGAAAAGTATGAACTTGTCAGCGGATACCTTCAAAAAAACACTCGAACTCAGTGGGTCGATACCTGAGCCCGCAATACGGTCAGGCGATACTGGTCAGCAGAAACACTATTTTGACAGCTGTCAATTAATCAAAACATGGATGTACAATATCAGGTTGCAGGCTCCCAAACTAGCTAGAAAGTGTGAGATTAAACATTAGTATGCCTGTGGTGCGGACGGACGGAAGGTCGGGTGGTCGGTGTACGGTCACGTGATTGCCGAATTTTTTTCTAAGCTATGGGGCTTCGAATTGAGCCCATGATCAAATACAATATCAGCGCAAAACTTTAAACACTACGTGACCTCAACGAATATGAAAATGAGCCCGCGATACACTCAGGTGAAGATGGTCAGCGTTTTCTCTAGTTTGACAGCTGTCAATTAACCTTCATTAGAACGGCGAATATTCGAATTAACAGACTACGAGTGTGAGTAAGACATATCCGTTCGGTATGTAGTGGAAAATGCCAGATCGTGTACCTGAGCGAACCTGAGCCCACGTTATTAGTTTTCTGATAGTGGTCTGCAGTCGAAAACAGTCGACTCGGTACTTATATAGCAACACAAATTTACTCAAAACCACTGAATGAATGATTTACAAAGTACTTTCCTTACATTATCTGCATCATTTTCCTCCACTAGCTGCTGTTTTCTTCTGGGAACTTCTTGGATAACTTTAAAAATCGTTGCTTTTTAGCTTGAGGCTTCGTGTTTGTGTTGTTGTGTTCATTCACGAAAAAGAAAACTGGCAGGACCTGGCAGTATTTTTCCCGCTTTTGTCACGCCACTTTCCGCCATGCTTTGATTACGTGCTGCAATGTATCCCGAGCGGGGTACATTGCTTAATGTATCACGATCGGGATACATTTGATTTTAGTTAAGGCCACGTGACTAAGAATCAACCAATGGCAGTCCCTGTTTAGTTGAGTGAAAGTCTAGGAATATAACAATTCATAATAAATTCATACGTTATCATGTACCTACTGGCAGCGCTTCCCTTACAATTCATAATCTCTACTGAGTAATACTGTGAAAAGACCGCCAGTTAAAGTCCTTTTATAAAATCGCCGTTCTACATATTAATCATTGTTTTATATGCATGGCCTAAAAGTTTTAAGGTCTTTGAAACGCACAAGGTAATGAAATGGAAATTCGAAAGCGCTTATCCTAGACTGCTCACAGTCCCCTATTTTTTCGTGGGACCGTCAAGATCGAGCGCTTACCGCTTCGGTCGGCCATCTTGGTTCCATGTACAAAACCGTCCCCCGCCCCGTAAGTAGATTTGACACTCATCACCAGGCTAGATTTAGAACATTTGAAACCAAGATGGCCGCCAGTAACGCAAAGCGGTCGATCTCGACAATAGGGGATTGGGAAAAGGAATTGGAAAAATTGGGAATTGGGAATTGGGAAAAATTTAGGGAAAGGTACGACGATCTTACGGAAAAATAGGGAACTGTGAACAGTCTACACTTATCCTTTTATTCTCAAATTTCCAGTTTACTTGTACATGTAAGTGTCCCATCATTCATTCGTATTTTCTCCGAATTTCATTTTCGACAAAGCACTTGAAATAGACAAAAATGTTAGCTATTGCTCCTCACGTTGATACGAAACATAGAGACGATACCCAACCCAAGAATTGAGGTGGTACAGGCCTTCTATCTCCTTATATCCTTTGATAGAGCAAACCGGTACTAATAAACCCTTGCATGATGGGTAAACTTCGTCGTATGCGTAGGTTACAGAAACAACCCATAAAAATCCTTGTGACGAAGTTTTCTCAAAGACGACGTCCATATTTCGAGCTTTGGCTTATAGTAATGAAAGTTGCATGTCTTAAGTACTCTCAAGGTAAGGCAAAGAGAAGTAAATGTATTTCAATGAGGATACACAGTGTCATTTTCGACTAGTTTCCAGTAAGCTGTGTGGGGTAGTGCATGTGACAACAAACACGTTCACAGATTATTACTAATGTTCTACCACTCCATAGCTGTAAGCGACAGCAAACTGTTTATGTTCAATTTCGCCCTGCCTGTCACCTCAACACAACCACAGATAAACTAACGTCACTCTCAATTTGCTGAAAAAAATGAATGAATGTTGTTTCAATATGATTAGCCGTTTCTTTGGAAATGAGCGTCAAGTGACCAGAGAGAGAACGCCTTCGCGGGAGACTACGAGAAATACGATGTCCATCCAGTACAGTTTGGTCATGACGTCATTACAATGTTATGACATTGGTCGTGACGATTTTCGTCTTTTTAATACAGTCAAACCCTGTCAGACACTGCAGGGGCCATATAAGAAGTCTGTATTAACGGGGTTATTTTCAGCCTCGTTCCAGACCTTTTGTTTGACTGCTCGCGCGTACTTGAATCCCTAAATCCTCTATTAAGCCCCCAGGGGGCTTATTTTTTTCAAGCACTTTGAGGGGTGGCTTAATAGAGAGGGGGGGCTTATTTAAGGAGCAATGTTTCTCGAGGACGGACTTGTGGTTCCCGGGCGGTATACTGCTTTGTCTAACGATAAGAAAATGGTGACAATTCTCCACAGAGAACTAGAGCGCAACGTTGAGAAAGTTAAGCATATGAAGTTGGAGGTCATGCGGCCGAAGACCACAAACAATATGAACTTCCAGCCTGAATAAACCATAACTGATCAGTTCACGTTAATGGTTAATTTTTTTGTGAAGAATAAGGATTGGGGGAGGGGGAGAGGGGGGGGGCTTATTAACTTTCCTCCTCTGAAAAGGGGGGGCTTATTAGAGGATTTAAGGTACGCAAAAATACGGACTTTTTTGCAGTCTAATTCTTCAAAACTCTTATAAGTATATGGGCATCTAATCTACGGCACAGATGAAGNTTATTAGAGGATTTAAGGTACGCAAAAATACGGACTTTTTTGCAGTCTAATTCTTCAAAACTCTTATAAGTATATGGGCATCTAATCTACGGCACAGATGAAGCGACGCTATGCAGATTTACTGTGCGTTAGAAGCCGGTACAGTTTTTCCTGAAATTCTCCAGCGCATGGCAATCATGGGTATTTTATCGTCGATCACACCCTTATTGAATAGCCAAACTTCGAATAAACACTTCGAACTTACTAGGGGAGATATTCACAAACAATGTATTATCTGTACTCTACTCCTGACGACCATGCCAGAGGAAAATCAATCGTTCGGTACCTGGGTATACTGCGTAATTACTGAAAACACTACCGAGTACAAAGATTGGCAAAACTAAATCTCCTTCGAAAAACACAGCAACGAGATCAAAAGGGTATCCTATCTATCTTGTTAAAAAAGACCCGGTGAATATAGTAATCTCAACTAGTTATCGTCTCTTAAACTCTGCTAATGGAAAAACAGTGATTCAGACAATCGGCGACAAAATTAGTTGAGCCACTTCGCCCTAAACTGGGCTTTTTTGCCCTTTACTGACTTCAAAAGGGGGAAATATAGCTTTTCCTCCTCCCATCCCCTGCATGCAATGTTGTGCCGATGTAGAAAACAACAAACACCCCAACTTTGAATGGAGGAGACAGGGGAGGGGTGTGGATTCTTTTGTTCCCTGAAGTTAACCTATTAGAGTAAAATGTCTCAACAGTTTGTCGCCGATTGTTGGTTGATATTTCATGAGAATCTATTAATTGGGCAAGAAACAAGTGTCCGTTATCCGCATTAATGGGTGTCCGTGTATTAAGAGAATTTAGAGAAAATGTAAGCGCTTTACCCAGGGACAAAGGAAAGTGTCCGTAATAACAAGGCATCCGTAAAGCGGGGTTCGACGGGGTGACTGCTTTTTTAATATCATTGTTACATGCTAAAACTTTGAAGTTTTTGCCCCTTAATATCAAGGTGGGCCATCTTTTAAGAAAAACACTATTCCTGAACCTTCATTACTACTGCACCAACAACTACCAACCTATCAAAATAATTAGCTTGTTCAATTTACCTATACTAGAAGTTGATCCTGCAATGTTTTGCATACTCCAGCTGTTAAGAGGTTCCTTTCCCACGGACGATGCACGTTCATGACTAGCTATCTTGGAGGGCATATGCTCCTTAAAAAAGATTCCGCTATCCTCACTTGAAGTACCTGCATTAAGAGACGGCTCTTGTCAAGGTATTCATCATTACAAAATGTCTACTCAAGCAATTTCACCATAGCCAAAGAGCATTAAAAAACTCATCCAAGCCCCCACAAAGGAACTTTAGGGCGATATCACGGATTCACAATATTAGACACATACTTGAATGTCTAGGAAATGATACTGTTTATAGCAATTCGATGAAAGATACAATTTGCAAAATTGGGAATTTTGTTCGCATATATTTTTGAAATATTTGTCACTAAGCTACTTTTAATGGCATAGCGGAGAATTCAGGACTTAAACCACTTTAGGAGATCACTATTTTGCTGTCGCTGCTCCTAAACTTTGGAATTTGTTTCCTTTTGTGGTATAGAGAAGCCCCTCAATTGAAATTTTTCAGGGGGAACCAACGACGGTTTCCTACTAAATACATTGAAAAGCCTTTTTAGGCTATCCAGAGTACTTTTAGATTTCTAGAAACGTATTCTAAGTGGCGCTATTAAGTTTATATCTGTTTGGTCATCCTATGGGAATTTGAGGCTTTTCGAAATTTCAAGGGCAACAGCGTTATTTTCCCGAAAAGTTTAGATGTAATTGAACGTTTAAGAAAGTAATAATTTTTCATTTCTCTCTCTCACCATGAAAATACACACGTAAATTAACCTAACATACACACGTAAATTAGCCTAACATAAGGAGTAAAATGTGAAAAAATGAAACCTCAGGAAATCGTAGGGAATTCTGTAAATAAGCTTCGAAAATAGTTTGTACCTGAATGGACCGCTCATCTAGAAATTATTAGCCGTATTCAAACAATAGAAAATTCTAGGTAATATTTACTTCTCCGAACAGATATTTTATAGAAAACAGTCGTTGGGTGCCCCTGATTTTTAAGAAGGCACTCGAGACATTTTCATTCCAGAATGCTTTTATGTAATTTGATGTAACGTTTTTACTCGTTTTTAGGAAGTTTCGTGCAGTAAGTACAGTTTTAGTAAGCAAAGTAATTTTTCTAATTTTAGTGTTCGACATAATTTTATATCTTTAATATATTTAAATATTTATTCAAAAACGTTTTTTTAACCGCTGATGAAAATGACGCCCATCAAGCGTCCATTGGTATCGGGGCTACATAAGTTTTACTGTTCTTAATAATACACGTCTATAGTACGAGCAAAAACGGTATCCAGTCCTGTAGGAAAAAGTACCTTTGAATACTCTAACAATCACTTCTCCCCTTTAGGTATAGTAGTGCACTAGTCAGCAATAGCAAAAGAAACAACTCATGTTTTTGCATACCTGGATTACAAGAGAATTCTGACATTTTACGCTTACGGCTATTATGAGACTGAGAGTCTGTATTCGTGGATATTTTAGTCGGATTTCCTGATGCAGCTTCAGCTTTCATTTCACAGTCACTGCTAAGGGACGTTTCTGAAACAAGCTGCTCGTTGTGATAAGAGTTTGTTCTTTGGTTGATGTCAATTTCTGTAGAAGGTTCTGCAAAAACAAGCTCAGTGGTTACATTTATAATCTCTTTGAAACGTAATCAACTTAACTTAGTCAATTCCAGGTGTGCACATTCCTCTCCGGGGCGGACATTTGTTGTGCATAATATATTAGGTTGTGTATTCCTGGGATAGAAGCTCAGCGGCCGACGTTTTATTTCTCTTCCCGTCCCTACTTTTTGCTCGCTCTCGCGCGCCTCCCGCGCTTCTCCCACTTGGTTAAAAACAGAAAGAAATGATTTCTACGCATGCTTTCTACCAAGATACCTTCATGGTCCTCAGTCATGCTTTCTATCCTCTGAGAGGCGTTGCACTTTGTTTCGAACGAGCTCCGGGCCTTACGAGAATCTTCTGTTGCTACAAAATGGAGAAAACATAACTAAAAGCATATATGTGAAGTGCTGCAGATAAAGCCTATGACTGAAGGGTATGACGACAGCTCTCCACAAACCATTCCGCTGAAAACAATGTACCTGAAAAATTACAAACGTTACAGTTTTGCTGTTTTCAGCAGAAGGTTCAAATAGGTATTCAAGAACGTTTTTATCAAGACTTCAGGGCAAAACTCGTTAGCAATCCTATTTCTGTTTCTTTTCATTTTTCTCCCTATTGTTGCCTGATAATGTGCCACTGAAGAAAATATAATTGACATTCCTACCATGAGTCAGGCTGATCATCCTGTCAACTAACTCTTTTATCTGTTTAATCCAGTTGTATTTCCTGCCATAGGAATCACGCAAGGTCACCGCTTCCTCAAGTCGACATTCCCTGTCCTTGGACAAGATATTCTGGATGGCTACGGTCCACACTGCTGGGTCCTCTGAGTCAATTACAAATGATGAACCAAAAGCTGCACTGCGCAGTGCTTCTCCAAAACCAGAATTGCGACTGACGAGCACAGGGAGACCAGCTGACATTGCCTCGAGTCCTGTTAGTCCAAAGCCCTCTGTTCGCGAAGGCATGACTGCAAGATCCACTTCTTGGAATAAGCGCTTCAAACTCTCTCGATCTTGAGCAAATCCTCTTACTCTCAGTCGACTTGCAGGAACGCCACAATCGATTAACCGCTTTGCTATTTCTTCGTGTTTTCCATCCGATGCCCCAACAAACATAAGACGAGTATCTTGTAAGGCGGCAATCGCTTTCCCAGCAATGTCAAACCCTTTTAATTCGAAATCGTCTACGTCTCCACGACCAAACACCAGGACACTGCGTTGCTGCCTCTCATTAGGATCCTGATTTACAGCCACAAACTCTTCAAATACCCCAGGAGTGAAGTCAAGAACATGGTCACCTTTTTTACAGCCACGAAGATATGAGCGAAAGGCGTCGCTCAACTTGGGACCAACTCCTACAACATGGTCAGCAATTTTACACAGTTCTACTTCGGTCTTGTGTTTTTCTTCCCCCTCCGAAATTGGATTAGAAAAGTTTTTAAACATCCCAAGCTCCTCAGGGTCTGTGTGTACCACTTGGAACCATTTGCACGTTTTAAGGTCTTTAATGACTTGTGCTTGTTTACCGAGTTTAACTCCATGACCTACGATAATGTCGATTTGCAAATCTTTCGGCGGAAAGCAAAGCCAATCCAGTTTTTCAAAGCCAGGCATAGGCGTTGCCTCTACGATCTCTACTTTGTGATCTAGGGCTACTTTTTTATCCTCTTGACTACATTTTGGTAAAAAGAAAGTGATTTCCACTTCAGGGCACTTGGCTAACTGAATGGCTAATTCTCTGTTTATGGTGGAAAGCCCCCCATTACTTGGTCCCCATTCAGATCCCAAAATGGTGACTTTCACTTTGCGAGATCCATGCGCTCGGTCATCATGCGTTTGAGCCTTCTGTAAAGCAGATGCCATGCTCAAACATCAAAGTCGTCCAACATCTAAAATAAAAATTAATGGTAAAGACTCAATTACAACTACTACTATGG